AACATATCACAGAGCCAGGAGGTCAAGAGTAAAGATCTTGGTGTCAGACTTCCTGGGCTTTGAATCTTGGCCCTGGCCCTTGCTAACAAGCCAACTAACCTACCGGGGCCTCAGTTTCTCTATCATAAAATGGGGATCATAAGACAAAGATTACTATGAGGCTAAAATTGAATACATATGTGAAGCACTGAGCACAATACCTGGCTTAAAATAATAGGAAACATGAGTACATAATGCAAAACCCAAAAGGTACAAAAGGATAAAGAGTAAAAAGTCTTCCTCCTTCTGGGGTCCCCAGTCAGCAGTCTATTCCTCTTCTCAGAAGCAACCACTGTGATCTGTTGGATAATCTTCCAGATAATCGATTTGCCTACATACCAACTCCTGTTATGGCACTGTAGGGTCAGCACTGAACCACAAGGTCAACAGTTCAAACCCACCAGCTGCTCCTTGGAAACCCTACATAGGGTCACTATGGGTTGGAACTGACTCGACAGCACTTAACAACAACAACATATATGCATACATTGTTGCTGTTGGTAGCTGTCATGGATCCTCCTCTGACTTGTAGCAACTCTACACACAGTGGAAGAAAACATGGCTCCGTCCTATGACAGCTTCGTGATTGGTTGCAGATCCACAGAGTCTGCGTTGACTGACTTTTGTAAGTAGATCACCAGGCCTTTCTTTCTAGTCTGTCTTAGCCTGTAAGCTCAGCAGAAATCTGTTCGCCACCCTAACACTGTGCAAGTCTCCACTGCCAGATGGTGGTGGCTGAGCCCGAGGTGCCCTGGCTGGTAAATCAAATCCCGCTCTCCTGACTGGAAGGTGAGAATTCTGGAAACATGTTGCTGCTACTTCTGTTAGCTGTCGCCACTTGACTCTGAGTCATGGTGACCTTATGTATAACAGAACAAAATGGTGTCCAGTTCTGTGCCATCTTCATGAACTTTGTATGTTTGGGTCCATCTTGGGGGCTATTGTACGCATACAGAAATACATAGTTCCTTTCTCAGAAATGGTACCATATAATACACATGTGAGTCTTACTTGTTTTCACTTAACAATTGGAAATTCTACTTCAGTTGTTATTGTTGTTATCCATATAAAGGGGACTAAGCGACAGTGGGACAGATAGATGGGTCTAAAGAGAGGGGGTTGATGACAGTCACCAGGCAGCACAGAGTGTGACTATCCCGCTGAGACCTTTGCTTTTCCTTCACAGTCAACAAAAGAAGAGGAAAACATGAAGAAAAGCCCTCATGGCCCTGGGCAGCTCTTCCTAGGCTGGTTATTGTGAGGACGTTTTCCCAGAAAGGCAGAGTCCTGTGACTTTAAGAGATCTACACCACGTGCAGCACGTAGCAGGAGTAACATCTGGGTAGCAGCCACCTCTAGTTAAAGAGACAGGCCCTTCTTCTGAATAAACTTGGACCAAGTTCAAGGTCTAGCAATTCGGTGAAGAGTGATTTTCTTTTCTGACTTATAACTGGAGACTTGGTCCCTTGGAAACCCTACTGTCTGGGGATCCTTAGGGCCCCAGCAAATGGGGATTTAGAGCTGGGTTTCAATCCTGCCTCCCTGATTGTGGTCCCACAAAAGCGCTAGTGGTTTTACTTCTTAGAGCCTCAGTGTCTTCATTTTGAAAACAAGGGCTATGGGACTTAACTCAGAGGGCTGCTGTGGGCATGGCATAAGCGAGAGCTTTGAAAATTGAGCTTTTTCTCTTCCTCTGTGCTCACTCCTGCACTTCCTTCTAGGAGGTTCTAGAATCTCTGTCTGTATCCTCCTAAAACAAAACATCCGGTGCATTCTGGCACCAAGTCTGATCCCCAGCTGCAGGAACTTCCTGCCCTGGATCAGAGATGAGAGGTAGAGCCTGTGATCCTGGGCATGCTTCTCTCCTTTACTTGCCTGAGTCCCTTTGGGCCTTCCTTCTACCAGCTGTCCGATAAGCAAAGATTGTCTCCAAGATTCCCAGTGACTGTACCCATCTTCTATAAATAACATGTGTTGGCTTTGTTTGGCTTGTACAAATGATATTAACTTACTGTAAAAAAACAAAAGGAAAAATATAAAATATAAACAAGGAAACAACCTTTACCCACAATGCCTATTGTAATCACTGTAAACATTTGGGTGTGATTTTCTTCCAGCACTCTATTCATGCATATGTCTATTTTACCAAACAAAACCACATCTATTGCCATAGAGTTGATTGCTTGGGTTAAAGAACAGACCGACTCTACAGAGTTTTCTTTGCTGTAGTCTTTATAGACGCAGATGGCCAGGTCTTTCTTCCTCAGTGCTGCTCAATGGGCCTGAACTGCTAATCTTTGGTTATCAATCATTTGCACCATCCAAGGATCTATCTATATCTTTAAGAACATAACTTGACTAAATGGGATCATTCTGTATATACTGCTGTCCCCACATATTCTATTGAGAGTGTGTTTCCTTTGTCAAAGCAGTTAATTTTTTCCCAGCACCTACCCTGGCATTGTGGGTTAATGTACCAGACTGCAAAGCCTTTTGAACTGCAAGGTCAGCGGTTCAAGCTCACCAGCTGCTCCTTGGAAACCCTATACAGGGTCGCTATGGGTCAGAACTGACTCGACGGTACTTAACAACAACAACATATATTGTGCTCATGAGGAATCTGTACCTGGACCAAGAGGTAGTTGTTCGAACAGAACTTGGGAACACTGAATGGTTTAAAATTAAGAAAGGTGGGCAGCAAGGTTGTATTCTTTCACCATATTTATTCAACCTGTGTGCTGAGCAAGTAGTATGAGAAGCTGGGTTCTATGAAGAAAAACATGGCATCAGGATAGGAGGAAGACTCATTAATAACCTGTGATATGCCTATGATACAACCTTACTTGCTGAAAGTGAAGAAGACTTAAAACATTTACTTATGAAGATCAAAGAGCACAGCCTTCAGTATGGATTGCATTTCAATGTAAAGAAAACAAAAATCTTGACCACTGGACCAATAATCAACATTCTTATCAATGGAGAAAAGATTGAAGTTGTCAAGGACTTCATTCTTCTTGGATCAACTATCAACACTCATGGAAGTAGCAGTCAAGAAATCAAACGACATATTGCATTAGGCAAATCTGCTACACAAGACATTTTTAAAGTGTTGAAGAGCAAAGATGTCAGCTTGAGGACTAAGATGTGCCTGAAGCAAGCCATGGTATTTTCAGTAACCTCAGATGCATGCGAAAGCTGGACAGTGAATAAGGAAGACCATAGAAGAATTGATATATTTGACTTATGGTGTTGGAGAAGAATATTGAAAGTGCCATGGGCTGCCAAAGAACCAATAGATCCATATTGGAAGAAGTCAGCCAGAGTGCTCCTTGGAGGCCAGGATGGCCAAACTTCGTCTCTCATACTTTGGACATATTGTCAGGAGGGACCAGTCACTGGAGAAGGAGATCATGTTTGGTAAGGTGGAGGGTCAGAGAAAAAGGGGAAGACCCCCAATGAAATGGACTGGCCAAGTGGCAGCATCGACGGACTCAAGCGTGACAACAATAGTGAGGTTGGCCCAGGATCGGGCAGTGTTTCGTTCTGCTGTGCATAGGATTGCTATGAGTCGGTATAGACTCGATGGCACCTAACGACAACAAAACATATTTTCTGTTGTATTTGGTTCCCTGACGTCCAAGACATTCCTCATTCCCTAGCTTGTGTCTTCTTCTGGCAAGCTCCCTGCCCCACTCCAATCTTACCCAGGGCTGTACCCACTGACCCAATTCTGCAGCCCCACTGGTAGGTGTCTGCCTAGGAAAGGAGGCCTTTCTTTCAGGATCCCTACCTAGTCTAGGTTCCTTGAGTTCTTTGTTGAGCTGTGGAGAAAACCTTGTCTGTGAGAGGCCCTAAAGCACATTAGCTAATACTCATTCTTTCACTCATTCATTCAACAATGAGCCCTCAGGAGCTTGACTCACAGGGACACAAAGACAAATGAAGAGAGTCTCTTTAGATTTCTGCATTTTTTTGTGGCCAGGGTCACGGCAAAGGGTGTGGGTACCTCTGAACACATTTGTTCTCGCCCTCACTTCTGGACTGGACTCCCAGGTCCTTCTAGGGGAGATACAGCCCTGAAGAAGGCTTCAAGAATGCTAAGGGTTGGCAAAGGAGAGACATTGCTCTGTATGGTGTCCAAGTGAGAGTGAATAGGGATGGAAGAGTCCAGGTGGGAGGTCCACCTCCTAGCATCCCCTGTCCCTGCAAGCCTGGACTCCCACCCTCTGGGTTTGCTGCTTTTGTAAAATACGCATGTTGTAACCTTAGCTGCCTTCCATGGAATTTTCTGTGGATCAAACGTAAAAAATAAGGTGAACTGCTTCAAAAGAAGAGAGCTACAGAATCGGAAGAACTTTCTAATCCAGTGGCTAAAATTTATCCGCGTCCAAATCCAGACTCTGTCTACCGGCTGTGGGATTCGGGGCAAGTGATTTAGATTCTCTGAGCTTCAGCTTCTTTCTTGGTCAAACAGGGCATAACAATGAGGGCCACCCTTGGGTTTGTGGAAACCACCAAATGAAATAAAAGAGCTGAGACTTGGGGGTGGGGGCAGTTCTCAGTGCGCATGACCCTATGATTGAATGCTTTTATGTTTCCAATTTACAGGTGAGAAAACAGACTCACAGGTATTGACACAGTAAAGTCTTGGCTCAGACTCTGGCCTATAAAAATTGTGGTTGCCTCCCCCTTCCTCCTTCTCCGTGTCTCATCGAACCACGTTGGAGTCAGCACGGAGGGAAGCTCAGACACTAGCCCCTGACAGCTGTCCTCACGCTGAAAGGCCTTGGAGAGAGAATATCTGCACGTAAATCTATTCCCTGGGGGCGGGAACGCCAGGGAGGGCGGTGCGGCACCGCCCCCGGGGCGGGCCCAGTGCGTGGCAGCAAGACCGCGGGTAGCGTCGCGAAGTTTCCAGCCCTCCAGCCCTGCTAACGGAGGCCGGCCGGCAGAGCACCCTTGGGTCCCGCCATGCGGCCCCTGCTGCTCCTAGCCCCGCTGGGCTGCCTGCTCCTGATCGAAGCAAAGGGTGACGCCCAGCCGGAGGGTGAGGCGCGGGCCGGGCTCGGGCGGGTCGGGGTGGGGTCGGTAAGGGAGACCGTGGGTTCGGGAAGGAGTCTGTGTTCCGGCCTCTTGACCACTTACTTAGTGGTGATTCGGACAAATCGCTTACCCGCTCGGGACTGCAGTTCCTTCTTAGTGTAGCGTTTAAGGGAGGGTGAAGACCAGTGTTAGAGTCAGCGCCTACCCCACTGTCATCGAGTCGAGATTCCGACACCTAGTGAGCCTGTAGCAAAGAGTAAGAAAGTAGAACCGCTCTTTTGGGATTCTGAGACTGTAAATACTGACGGGAGCAGAGCAGACAGCTTCATCTTTCTCCTGTAGAGAGTGGCTGGTGCGTTTGAACCGCTCACCTTGCGGTTAGCTGCCTAACGCTTCTACTCCTGTGCCACCGGGCTCATCAGTATCCAAACCAACCAAACCAAACTGGCTGCCATGGAGTAAATTATGACACGTAGTGACTCATTCCGAGACTGTTAAATCTTTACATGAACAGACAGCGTCATGTTTCTCCTTTCGGAGGGACTGGTGGGTTTGAACTCTTTCTTGGGTTTGAAGTGCTGGCCTTGTGGTAAAAGTCCAATGCTTATCCCACATAGTCATATTACTACTATTAATTACTACTGGCAATGACTACAATTTATGGAGGGCTCACTGTGGACCAGGCTTTGCTAAGCACAGCACACTGGCATTCTACCTACCAATATTAGAATCCTTCTATCACCCCAGTTTCCAGCTGGGTAAACTGAGGCTTCAGAGTTGAATCATTTGCCGAAGGTCACACAGCTTGTGGACCTTGGAACCCACGTGTGTGTTTGGTTTCAGATCCAATGGGCCTGACCATAGGGGTCGGGGCTGGTCAGGGTGCGGGGTGGGCCTGAGGTGGAGGGGTCGGGGCCTGTGTTCCTGGAGGCAGTTTGCCTCAGTGGTCTGCTGAGCTCCCCACCAGATGGGTATTGTGCATGAGAAAACTGAGGCCCAGAGAGGTGAAGCCCGTCGTGGAGTGGTTGGGTGGAGGCTGAGACTTGTCTAGCATTCTATTTCCCCAAGCAGAGTGGATCTCAAAGTGGACCCCACTCTCCTGACAAGTTCCTGAGAGCCCCAAAGAGGACACAGACTCACAATTGAACAAACTTTCCTTGGTGGTTCCTTCTCCTGGGTGCTCCCCCTCCCTCCTCCTGACCTGGAGAACCTGGGAGCCCTGATGGGCAAAGAGAAGGGATGGGACCCATATGGCTCTTCTTGTGGCAAAGCCAGAAGGTGATTAGTTCCCACTGGGTTTGATGGTCTGGCCTGCACATGGGGGTGGCAGGGTGAGGGTGGGTGAGACCTCACTCCTGGTGCTGTTACAAGGATTCTATGGGGTGGGGTCTGTTGGCGAGGGGTCAGCCTGGTGCTTGGCCTGGAAAGGCTCTCAGCAAAGGGCATTTTCTCTCCTGGGTTGTGCCAGGTGGGAGAATTCAGGGCTGGTCCACTCACTGGCTAGAAGCCAGGAGTACTGCAGTCGTCTCCTGCTTCCTCCCTGACTCTCTTTCCTATGCTTCCGCTATCATGGACGCCATCCTGCCCAGAAGAGAAATGAGGTCTGTCCACACTGCCCAGAAGAGAAATGAGGTCTGTCAGGGCTGGTCCACTCACTGGCTGGAAGCCAGGAGTACTGCAGTCGTCTCCTCCTTCCTCCCTGACTCTCTTTCCTATGCTTCCGCTATCATGGACGCCATCCTGCCCACAAGAGAAATGAGGTCTGTCCACACTGAAGCGCAGAGAGGTGAGGCAGGCATGGACGCCATCCTGCCCAGAAGAGAAATGAGGTCTGTCCCACACTGAAGCACAGAGAGGTGAGGCAGGGAGGAAGCAGTCAACAAGAGAGCTTTAGGTGCATGTGATACAGGACCACCTAGGTTGCTGCTGAGGGTGAGGGCAGGATTCAGGGGCCCACTAAGATCATCTGAGAAAGTGCTGAGCTCTTAGTGATGGACAACAGGCAGCAGGTCCCTAGGCAGGGCTATCCAATCACTCTCCAGTGAAGGCCTTTTGCTTCCCTTGTCCCACTGAAACTCTCTTGATAAGGAAGGAATTGTTAGCCCCATTTGGTAGATGGAGAAACTGAAGCCCTAAGAGCCTGAGCTTCTGGTCTCAGGTTGCCACTGCTGGTTGGAAAAGAGTTGATGGACTCAGACCTGGCTCCTCATTCTTGCTGGCCCCACTTCCCACGTGGGGGAGGCTGGGCCTTAGAAACACTACTAGGGGCCTAGGGGCCGCCCAGCTTCCCAGGACCCAGCTGGAGTGGGACCCTCAGCTACTTGGACAGAAGGACAGAGTGAGGTGGTCACTTTTCCTGCAGTTTGTACATCCAGAGAGGCCAGCTCCTCTCTCCCCTGGCTACTCTGGAATCCCTGAGCAGCACTAGGTGCTGGGATGGGGCAGGCCCACAGATGTGTCCTGTCTGTCCCTCTGGGCACAATGAGACCATAGTGGGGAAGGGAGTTTATTATGGAGTCTTGGGGAGCTGGGGGTTGGGAAAGAACTCTTGGCAGCTAGTATACCCTCTTGAGTGAACACTTGTGGACATGGATAATGGATTTAGAATTTCGTTTTCTCTCTTAGGGAGATCCCTGTCTGAGGGAAGATGTGGGGTTTCTTCCCTCTGTGGATTTCCAGTGTGATGGAGGCCAGTGTCTGAGGGAGTAGACTTTGCCCTTGTCCCTGGGTATTTCCTAGACAGAAAATTGTTGTCCAGAAAGTAACATCTAGAGGATGTCCAGACGTCTGAGGGGAACAAGAGGGTCAGGAGGCTTGGGGCTCTGCTTTGCAGCTCTGGCTGATCCTCTACTTTCCCTGGACTCAGTCTTTCCTTCAGGCCTCGGTTTGGCCAGCTGTGGTCTGTTAACCGCCCACTTTAGAGACCCAGGATGTCAGCCAGGCTTGGGTTGGGATCCTGGTCCTGCTATTCCACAGCAGGGAATGAGACTATCCCAGGAGTCAAGCAGACCCTGGAGCGGGGAGAGGAAGGGTTGGGGATGTTGGAGGAGACCCGAGGCCAAAGGATTGAGTGGGGGCCAGACCCTAGAGGAACCAGATCCTGGGAGGTCAAGGTTGGCTCCTGGACCCTGGAAACCCCCATCCCCTGCTGTTCTGCTAGATCCCATTTATGGCTTCCATTCAAATCCACGGAAGAGGCAGGAAGGGGAAAGACTTTAGTCCCACGTCTTCAGCAGACTGGTGTGTCTCCACAGTGCCCGGGACCATCACTGCCCTGCATGGGCTGGGACGGCTTCTTGGAGGGCTGGGGGGGGGAAGTAGAATGAGGAGGAGAATGAGGATTGCTGAGTCACACTTGAGTTGTCAGCCTTTTCCTCAGGACCCCAGAAGTCCTTTCATAGTCCTGCTTTTTCTTCAGGGATCCCCTTCTCCCAGGAGCTGCTCCTCCTCCAGACCCTCGAATGTCCTTTCCACATCAGCCTTGCTCTCCATCCCTGATCCCAAGGCAGCACTCCCGGGCATAGCTCCCATTGAGTGTGGAGTTACCTGGAATAAGAACCCACACAGTCCACAGTCAGGCCCTGTGGATTAGCTCACAGGCCCTGTGGATTAGCTCCCCAGACTCTTCTGGAGAAGGATAAATGAGTAGCTGCATTCTTCCCATATTACAGGAGGAAAAACTGAGACACAGAGAGACTAACAGGCCCTGCAATCTCTTTCCCAGACTATTCTGTTGCCTCTCGTGTTGAGCCTGGAATGTGGTTCTATGCCTTCTAGGGAAAGCATTGGACTTTGGGCAGTAGGCCTGTCGGGGCCCTGGCCTTAGCCCAAGGCAGGCTGCGTGGATCAGACAGAAGGCAGCTGGGCAGGGCCCTGGTTCTTGGACGTCCTCCACATTGAGGCCATATGGATTACCCGGAGCTCTAGCAGGGTCTGGCATTGAGTTGGGAGGAGACTCACCATGTGATGGGAGCTGAGTGCCCCCACCGGGAATGTCTGGAAATGCTAGATTCTGTCTGCAGCTGGGAGTGTCTGGCATTCGGGATGTCGGACTCTCTTGGGCAGTGAAATGATGGCTTTAACAGCATGGACATTTGAAAAGCCACTCAGTGCTCAGTCTCTTATTCAGAGGTTCTGTGCCCTCAGGCAGGTTACTCAGCCCCTCTGTTTCGATTGTCCCTGACTAATACATAGAGTTTTCAATGGCAGATTTTTTTGGAGGCAGATTACCAAGTCTTTCTTCCTAGTTGGTCTGAAAACTCTTCTGAAATCTGTTTAGCATCATAGCAACACACAAGTCTTCACTGACAGATAATGGTGATTACACATAAGGTCCATGGACTGGGAATTGAACCCAGGTCTCCTGCATGAAAGGTAAGAATTGTACCACTGAGCCATCAGTGCTGGGTTTGTCACTTGTAGTTAAAATGCCACCTACCTCACAGGGTTGCTTTGAGAGTTACACTGGGCAATTGATATGACATGCTTCCTATAGTGCATGGTGTTTAGTGATGGCTCAACAAATGGTAGCTCTTACTAGAGTTATCTTTCCAAGTTGCGCCTTAAGGTCAGACATGCCTTACCCAGGCTCAGCCCCAGCCACAGGAATCAATGGAAATATAGAACCAATGGCATAGCTCTGGTCTGACACAGAGAAAAGGAGCAGGTTTGCACTGGTGCATCAAGCGCTGGGCAACCATGATGTTGTTGTTGTTGTTAAGTGCTGTCGAGTCGGTTCCGACCCATAGCGACCCTGTACAGGGTTTCCGAGGGTGTAAATCTTTACGGGAGTAGAAAGCCTCATCTTTCTCCTGCGGAGCGGCTGGTAGTTTCTAACCGCTGACCTTAAGGTTCGCAGCCCGATTCGTAGCCACTACGCTACCAGGGCAACCATGATGTTGTTGTTGTTGTTAAGTGCTGTCGAGTCTGTTCCGACCCATAGCGACCCTGTACAGGGTTTCCGAGGGTGTAAATCTTTACGGGAGTAGAAAGCCTCATCTTTCT